TCGGAAGATCCCAGTGAAGGTAGCTCGTGTGGTGTACCTATTTTCAATAGGTTTGCATCGCCAGCTTCGCGTCAATGGGCTGTTACCGGACAATCACCGCCAACAATAGCTTTGAAGTCGATTGGCTATGTACAGTTGTTGTGAATATGATATTTAACTGTAGGTAGCTAGTTTAGTTATAAATTCAAAACTTTAAGGTAGGCTCATCGGTTAGTTAAGTTTCTGTGTTTAGTATTATATTCTTTATGCCAGTTTATCTTGTTTTTGTTTGTTAATTTATGTTTAACATAAATATTTAAACCCAGTTAATTAGTTGACCAGAAATGTATATAATTATTTGTAAGGCTTTGCATGTAGTCATAAGCATTAAGTATATAAAATAAGCCATTGCTTGCGTCATTTGTCCTTTGTCCTCCCTGTAAATTAAAACCAAAGACTGCAAAGTCCGCACTAAATTAAAAAAAAAAAACTACTACACAGCAAAAAAAGTTGTTGAATATTACATCGAAACTGCTGCAACCAGGTCAATCCATCGGTTGAGTAATATCACATTGTACGATGTACATCGATTTTGCGAACAAAATTACATCCATTGATGTAATATTGTATCTGCTTTTTGCTATTACATCATTATTTCATACATCAGCTTGAATTACGTTGATCGATATTACATTTTTTTTGCTGTGTAATGAACCCACCGTGCGCAAACGCAAAGCACAGTTTACATCTCCAACGGGTGAAATGGGAACGTTTGTCTATTTCCGCCTGTCAACGAGAGAGTGAGAGAGAAAGAGGGAGAGAGTGAAACGAGAGAAAAGAAGGAGATATGGCCTAAAAAAGCGCAGGTCGTCAGAAAGTACGGGACGATCAATCGAAGTAGACACTAATAAAGAAGTTCGGAAAAAATTGGATTGGTGAAAAAAAAACGTCAGTGTGGTGTGATCGGAGTTTCGGCAAGAGAGATTGACGTGGGAGTGTCCGGAAATAGGGCAACGGGTCGTGACGATCGAGCCAGGTTCGTGGATCCGGAAGAGTAGTGCCAAGCCCAGATCAGGCTGAAGTTGTGCCACGCGGGAAGTGCCAGTGCCGCACGCCTTTGTCGGCCGAAGCAACCTGTTGGAAGAGCCAGTAAGCCCGGAACTTTGTCTGGCCGGAAAAGACCACGTGCGAATATCTGGACCTTGGCTGAACAGTACCTCCCAGACAGAAAGCAGATCTTTCGGAGAAGTCGAGATCAAGTTGCCCTTGGTCGGACCGTTGACGTTTCTTTGAGTATACCACGTAAGAACTCCAACCTCGAAGAGCCTCACCATCGACGGACGGGTCACAGGACCTTGGTTAAGGTCAAGCAAGCCTCCTTTTCCTGGAAGAGACGCCTCTCTGGTCATCAGTTCGGATTCAACCCCAAGTGCTGGTAGCCAGCCGAGTCCCCTTCGCCATTTCGGTGACTACACACGGTCGTGGAGCAGAAGAGCGGACGCCAAGGAGGTTACCAGCCTGGTAAAGACCGGCGGGTCCGCCCCCGCTTGCCAGTGCTTGGAACCGATGTGTTCCCCCTCTTCCGTGAGTACCCCTCCAAGCAAGCCGGATCAGGTATGTCAGCATAAACGCTCTCTCTCTCTCCCTCTCTCGCACTTCAAGCATGTGAAGGGCCCCACTAGCATTGGGCGATCTTGAGGCAAGAATCGATCTAAGCGAATCGATTAATTTTTTTGAAAATAATCGATTCTCCGATTTAATCAATCATTTTGAATAGATCTTTTTGAATCGATCTTTTGGGTCTTTTTGAATCGATCTTTTGGATCGATTCATTTTTCAAAATGGCACAAAAATGTTTCAAATATAACGGCTCATAGGAAAATTGGTGAAGATTAACGCCAAGTTGCCACAAATCGTCGATTGAAGTGATTGTTTACAAAATAAGATAGGGAAATGTCGGCTTCGGCAATACCTTAACCTATTATCGTCAGGGGGTAAACAAAGTCCTATAGCACTCAAATTTGGCCAATAGTTGCTCTGAAACACAATGTATCCACATGCCAAAATTGAGCTTTCAAGGACGTTGTTTACCCCCCTGACGATAATGGGTTAAGGTATTGCAGAAGCCAACTTTTCCCCCACGTCGATTTGAATAGTTACGATTGAATTGTGTTGTACGTACGCAGTAAAAGTTGTGAGTGTAACATCCCGTAAAAAAAAGAACCACAGAGGCACAATGAAATGTATTGTAACCATACAATAGAATTTATTGTATTTACAATAAATCATATTGTCTACAACGATAAAATAACCATAGAATGTATTGTTTTCACTATAAAATCTATGGTAAATGGGTAAATCTACAATAGAACAAGGGGGTTGTTATGTATCTTAACCATAGGAAAAATGACTTTTTCCCGAACAAAGATAAACCATTTACCATTAATTGTATTGTTGTTCTATTGTTGAAAATAATTACTATATGGGACGTATTGTAAATCTATTTTAATGACAATATGGTAAAATTTCTTGTACCATATGCGTACAATAAGATCGAATGTTGGCAATAGATTTTGATGTAATTGTATTTTATTCTATGGTAATTGTATTGTTATTTTTTTCCGGGATACCTACGTCATGAGAATATAGTAAATTACTATTTTGATTTCATTTGACATGTGGAAAATTTTGCTCAGGATACTTGATTAGGTGAGTGAATTCGATTTAATAGGTTATAATATTCGTTTTATTGGTATTAAATGAACGATTTAAAAACGAAAAATTAACATATGAAACAAAATGATTAGATGGTCGGAGTGTAAAAGCAGGTAAGTACGGAAAGTACTTAATTCAGATATCCCAAAACTCATCCGAGAGGGATCCCAAAAAGGTAATTGAGCCATGCGTTTTGCATTGAGCCGATATAGATTTTGTGTGGTTTCACCAGTTTAAGACAATAGCCTCTCTGACGGAACACTTGATAAATAATCTCGAGCAATAGGGTATACATGGGGATATTTACAATATATTTTCTTCCATGCTTGAAGAGGATCGACAGAACATGGGAAAACAGGCTGATGCAAGAAAGTTTTGTTATTCTGTCGATATGCCCCTATGACGATTCTCGTTCTTGTCTACTGAACTGTCACACTGGTTGTTTGCAGAATTTATGTTCAAGGCAAGTGATGTGCAAAGGTGAAGACACAAAAATCAATATTGAATTGCAAACGCAAATGCACTGAATTTTTTTTTTTTGATCGATACAAAAATCGAATGAAAAGGATCAATCCAGTCGATTTTTGTCGTGTTTGACATCAATTCAAAAAATCGATTAATCGAACCAAAAGAATCGATCTTTTGTGTTTTGATCCTAGATTGCCCATTTTTAGGCCCACCCTGCTTCCCTCGCCTCTCATATGTCCTAAATAAAATGTTAAAATAAATTTGTGACGTTTATTCTTTAATACTAGAGCCTTAGGTTTGCATGCGAGTCCTTTTCTAGTCGAGATTGGTTTGGTTTGTTGTCCGCTTTGTTCCCCAAAAGTCTGCCTGAAGTAAGTGGGAAGCCGACCCAGGATTAAGAGTAACCCTGAGCTAGCCGTTACTTACAGGGCGTTAAAGCTGAGTTCAAGCTCAGTAGATTCGGAACCAAGGTGATGCTCCGCACGAAAGCGGAATACGAACTGGCCACATCTTACCTGAAGAAGTCCAAGACGGAATTTTTCACTCAAGATATCTCAGGCGAGAAGCCCTTCAAAGTGGTCATCCGAGGTTTGCCGAGCTTCGACCTAAAGTTAATCGAAACGGAAATTAAGGACCTCTACAAGCTGGCCCCAACTGCCGTCTTTCGGATGGTAAGAAGGGACGAGAACGTCAAGAAGTATCCGGATTGCTTTTTCTTGGTGCATTTCCAGAAGAGAACGATGACACTCTATACATTGAAGGCCATCCACTCCATCAATTCCATCATGGTAGCCATACCGTGGCGGCCATCACGACGTCACCCAGTGTCAGTGTTACCTGAATTTCGGGCACGGCACCAGAAATTACTACATCAAGTCGCGCTGTGGCAAATGCGCTCAAAACCATGTCTCCTCCGAGTGTGCTGTCGACGAGTCGGAAACGGCCAAATGCGCCAACTGAGGTGGCGCTCATCAAGCGTCCGACAAACAGTGCCCCAAAAGCGAAGATTTCAAGCGGATCCGAAAGCAGGCGTCCACAAGAAACCAACCAGGACGGACGAAGGGAAAAACGCCGGCATTCAGAGTGGAGGATTTCGCACCTCTTCGTGCTTCGCAACAATCAAGTAAATCCGCGGGTGCAATCCGGCCCTCGTCAAGAAACGTCTTTTTTTTTTTTTTTTTTTCTCTTTATTATAGAGATTTTTAGCCTGAGGCTAGTTCATCTCTTACAAGAAACGTCTGATGCTTCTGCTGGAGAAAGCTTCCAATCCCCCTGTATTCTGGAGACAACCATTAGTACAAATCGTCAATCCTGATCTCAACCTACTAACAGAATATATCTTCTGTGACCTTTGTGTAGACGAGAGGTAAACACAATTCCTAAAACAACAAAGGTCACTCTAATATTCCTTCCCTTTCTTCTCACCTGATTGCAAGAACGTGGCCGGCACAGTTATTGATCTTTAAAATTTGGAGTCACTGAAACATATACAATGAGAATGGAAGGTCACTCCCAACCCCATTCAGTTGGCTCATTATGCAATTTCACTGGTTCTAATCAATCGCGGAATAGCAACCATTTAAGCTTAGTTAATAGACAAGTCAAATTTTATTTTTCAATTGGTTAATTTTTTTACTTTGTGTAATTCCAAATGTAATAGATTATTATGATAAATAGACATAAATGACATTCCGCATTAAGATTTGTGATAATTCACTAAACTTTGATACAGTCTTGATGGGAACCTAAATCGAAATCACAACAACCTTTACCAAGAACTGCAGTACAACACGATCAACCAATGCTTTCCTAGATCATAAGTACATGTAGTTACTTACCGCAACGTCTCCACCGAAGACGGTACTGCCAACAAAGTCCGTAAAATACAAGCAATAGCTCATATATCCCGCCTGCGCTAGGAATTGTGTCAAATACAAAATAGCCAATGACTTTGGCATGTAGCGCAAGTTTTTGAAAAAGTCCATAAACGTCAACGGTTTCTCATCATCTTCATCCTGCAGCGCAACTGGAAGGTCCCCTGGCTTGTTTGGTTCCGCTATCGGCCCCGAAATGCTATACACTGCGAGCTGTCGATTTTTTTCAGCTAAAAACTTTTTCTCCGTGACCGGCTGCAACAGTGGATCCTTTTCCAAAAGTGGCAGCGCAATCTCCCGAAAACTGGTAAGGGTTATAACCAAGGTCACCGCAAGCACTATCACGACACCGGCAAAGACCGTAGCCTCGTTACTACCCAGCAATGATCCAACGTCGGTCTGCTGCCAATCTATGGCACCTAACACATACCCCGCACTACCGCCGACTCCACCGATGATCATGGCCGTAGTGAGTACCTTGGCGTGATCGGCTGCAAATATCACAAACATTATTACAGACAACCTTGTTTATTCCATAAAATGTCGCAAACCACTTACCCTCAATACACACGTCTATGAAGTACGTCCGCCCGATGCCGCTGCTCGTTTCAATGTCAAAATCGGTCAGAATTAATCCGATCACCGTTATCAGCACTCCCCAGCGAAAACCAGACATCTGCTCCACCGGTACATCGTCGTCGCCGAACCAGATTCCAATTTGCTTACCGTACGGAAGAATCAGCAAGCCCACAATCACCGCAATTCCCAGCACCATCAGAACCGGCCTTCGCCGGCCCCAGCTATTTCGGAGTTGATCGCTGACCGAAGCTATCAGAGGTGCGAAGAAGAATCCCAGCGTTGGGGCGAACGCCCAGACCATCGTCATGAAGGTATGCTGCAAGCCATTCCCCAGCAGAATCGGGCTGACGAAGGCCGTCTCGGCTGCGTAGCAAAACTCAACGCCAACCTGGTATACGGACAGCCGGATCAGCTCCAGGCGGGATTTGGACCTGCAGAGGAATAAATACACCGATTAAGATTCACTTGAAGAAGCCCTCGATTACAAATTTAACAACTAGGGGAAGTGCACCAGTATTGGCCATTGGTTCCTATTTTGGCCACACCTCAGAAAAACCGATTAAATTACAATATTCGTGCATTTTGTGGTCGAAATGTTTATGAAACAAACTGAACGCAGCTGAACATTTTAACATTGTAAACAACGTGAAATATCGTCCATTTAATGCGTTCGTGATCGGAAATTCATTACTTTAAAATTTTCGAGCATCCACAGAAAAACATACAATGTTCCGCAAACTGCCAATGACGTTCAGAGCAAACCGTATTTCATGTTTAAAGTGAAACTAAGCATGTTTAATACTCAGTAATTGCAATCGAGTTAAACCGAGCCGCATGTAGAGGAGAAATTGCTGCATATAAAAAGTGTGCATGCAATTATCTGAACAACAAACGCCGACTAATTAATGAGCAATTAAAAGCTGTTCTGTGATTGAAGATAAATTCTCGGGCAAAAATTCAAAATGTCGTAACTGTTTTCAGAAGCATTGACGCCAATTTGTCAAAACTGCTAGCTCGTCTAAAGGTCCGTTTAGACTATCTGATTTCTTGGTCTGATTTTTACCGCCGCCATAATGAAAAATCTGCTCGATTTTACTTTCGACACACTTTGTCGAACCCCCCTGTTTGCTGGAGTTCACACTGCTTGCACATGTCGAAAGAATGGTCAATTTAAATTTTAAAACAAAATTGTTTCCGGAATCAAAAGTAAATGCTTCCATAATGAATTACCTGAAAATTGCTCTAGCTTTGGCAGGCAATGCTTTTATTATTTTAAATAAAATGAGAAGGAGAAGGTGAATTTTGTCCAGTAGGAAATGGTTGCCCAGGAGGAACACCGGCAGGGATCTTGCTCATCTTGTCCTTCAAGAACTGCGATATTAAGGGGGTATTCCCGATCTTTTTTTTTCAAAAAATCAAATTTTTTTTTCACGTTTTTTTGTACTTTAGACTATATACTTTCATCCCCCCAAGCCGTTTTCCGATCAGCGAATTCGGTGTCCAGGCATAGCTGACTAATGGTAAGAACCCCCAAATGGTTTTATCGGGCGAAGATTTTTCTCAGAAACTATAAGAGATATTGACTTGAATCTTTGCGCATTTTGTTCCTTATTAAATTCTTTGGAGCTTCTCCCACTTTCAGCCAAAAATATTAACATTTAACATTGTTTGAAGCACCTTAAAGTTGCAAAAAAGCGGGCTAAAAATCGCCTGTTTTTTCATATGGCCGCCATTTTGTTAATTTGCAAGATTTTTTGCTGCCAACGGGAGAAGCTCCAGAGAATCTTATGCAGATTATTATTTCATCACGAAATCTGTTTCAGATGAAGCCATTCCAGAGAAAAGTCTTTGCCCGTCCAGGCGTTTGCGGCGAACAGGGGTCTGTTTGTCGCCATTTTGTAACGTCAATAATGTCTTTTTTTATGTCGAAAAAAAATTATTTGTAAACTTTAATGTTCAATAAACAAGAATCCCAAAGAGTTAGGCGCATTACTATTCATTTTCCTTGAAAAAAAAATTAATTGAAAATCAGGCCGAAAAAAGGCAAAATATTGGGAATACCCCCTTAAGACGAAAAAGGATTTCAAAACTTCGCCAGGATGTCGATACCATCTTTCGACAAGCTAGTGGGAAAAGATCTCGATAGATCTACATGATTCCTTGAGTTCTGAAAATTTCTGTTAAGATATCAATTCTGCATAGTTCTCTGAAGACCTTCGGACGTTTCTGAAGTTTTATTTCTGTTCTCTGGTAAATATCTTTGAAGATCAACAAACTTTTCTGAAGATCTGCAAATTTCTCGGTAGTTCTGCAGATTTATTAGAAGTCCTGTGTGTTCTTTTGAAGATCCGCAAATTTCTCTAAAAATTTACAAAATTCCTGAATCCACGCAGATGTAAGATCCCTAAATATCAACAATTATCTCTGATGTTCACTAAATGTCTAATAATCTACGAACTTCTCTGTAGATTATCATGATCAATTAATATTTGCAAATATCTCTGAACATCTACGCAATTCCCTTAAGTTTAAAACAAATATCTAGAAATTTTTGACCTTTAAGAAAGTTCTCTGAAGATCTGCAAATTTTTCTGAAGTTGTGCAAATACCAAAAAGATCAGCGAACTTCCCAGAAGTTCTGTAAATTTCACGTAAAATCCAAGAACCTCAATTAAATTCTAAAGATTTATCAGTGGGTCTTCTCTCAAGTTTTGTACATTTCTTAGTGGATTCTTTTAAATTCCTTAAAGCTCTACAAATTATCGGAAAATATTTGAATTTATCTGCAGTTGTGTAAATACTTCTAAAGATCGGCGAACTTTCCAGAAGTTTTGTGAATTTTGCTGAAGTTTTGAATTTTTTTCTAAAAATGTACGCACTTTCTGAAGTTCTACAGACTTCTCTTAAGGCCTATGGACTTTTCTGAAGTTCTTCAGATGTATCTATTTCCAACTTCCATGGAGTTCTGCAAAATCTTGGACTTTCGTACTTCGCTGAGATTTGTTTTTGGAATTGAAGTCCTTTTCTGAAACACTGAATCACTGAATGTCTCTGAAGATCTGCAGTTGTGCAGATTTCTCTAAATATCTACACTCCTGAAGTGCTGCAAATATCTTTAAAGTTCTGTAAAGTTGTCTGAAACTCTGTAGTTTTATTCTCAAGATCTACGATTTACCTCGCAGTAGATCTACAAACTTGTCTGAAGATTTGTAAATTCCTCTGTAGGCTCTCGGGCTACCCTGAACATTTGAAAATGTCCCTGCAGATCTTCCAAATTACCTTAAGTTCTCAAAATTTATCTGAAAATAGTTGAGCTTATTTGAAGTTTTAAATGTTTCTCTTAGAATCTACAAATTTTCCTGAAATCTATAATTATTTTTTTTTAAACCCGCCGAACTTCTCTGAAGTTCTGCAAATTTCACTGAAGATCCATTAAAATTTCTGACATTCTAAAAATGCATCACAAAAACTGCACTCTTTCTTATTATTATTATTATTATTTAGCTTTATTAAGGAGGCTTTCAGCCTTGGGCTGGTTCGCCTCCAATTCACTCTTTCTTGAAAATTTATCTGAGGATCTGTGACCATTCTTGTGATTTTTTCCAAAGTTCTGTAGCTTTGATTTGAAAATCTAGGAACTTTTCTGAAGTGCAATAATTTTTCAGTAGATCTCCAAACTTCTGTGAAATTCTTTACATTTCACTGTAGATTCTTGAACTTTTCTGAAGGTCTGCGAATTTCCCTGAATATTTACCAAAATTTCCCTTATAGTTTTACAAATTGATCTGAAAATATTTAAGCTTGCTAGAAGCTTTGAAAATTTCTTTGAACATTTTCCTGAAGATCTCTCTTGTGAATTTTTCCGAATTTCTGCAAATTTCTGTAAAATTTTCTGAAGTTTTATAGTTCTGTTCTCAAGATCTAAAACTACCCCGAAGCTCAACAAATTTCTCAGTAGATCTCCAAATCTCTCTGAAGCTCTAAAAAATTCTCAGTAGACTCTCAGACCTGCTGTCTGGCATGCTTATTCTTATATAATACATACTTCGTATTATATATTCACTGTTTTGTTGACGACCAAACACACTGGAAAATAAAAATCAGTCAAATTATACACATTGAATAATGGAATCGATTTACCTTGCTGCTGGATGTCATCAAAACATTTGCAATTTTGCTGAATGAGTCGAATTCAAATTAACCACAAACCTATTACGTTCGACAAATCAAACGTCAGATCTAATCATCATGTCGAAAAAGTGTGAACGCATTCGAACATTGCATCCGACAAAATTATCGAGCAGTCCGCTCGAATCAGACCAACAAATCAGTTAGTCTAAACGTACTGATGGTTTGCGTGGACAAACACTCAGTTTTAACAATTGACCACTTTGTCAAGCAGTTTTGGCGTAGCTTTCTACCAGCGATTTCACAAAACTGGACCAACTAATTTATATTTCTTTATGAAACGCACAAATGTTGGCTACTTTTCTCGTGGTTCTAGAAGAAAAAAAATCTCAAAATAATGTCTTATTTCAAAGTTCGAGTGGTAGTAAACGTAATTTTAACTGCTCGAATGAAGTGGTTAATTTGATGTTTGAAGTTATTGTTTACAAACGCACACACTATTTTTATTTGACTGGAAACCAGCATAATTTTGCTGGATTTTGCCAAGCTGGCAACCGCAGTTTGCTGGATATTCAGCTCTCGATCCAGCTAATGTTTTTTTTACAGAAATTTGCTTGAAAACCAGCAAACTTTTCTTTCTGAAATGAACCGGGAATTTAACTAAGAATAAGAAAATAATATTTAGAAATGATGCAGAACATACAGACTTACTAATTAATTTTCAAATAATGATGATCGTTTTAATCCACAATATAGGCTGACTAAAAGTAAATTTGTACGCACAAAAAGACCTATAATTCGTGATTCAATAAGTTTAAAAAGTCCATTATTAGTTGCTTTGCAGTACTTTTATTGAAACTTCAAAGTTACAGCATTAGATGGTTACATTACTCCAGTTCGAACGAATGGGACCCATCAGCGCCCGCACAGTGGGAACGGACACGGAATCAGCGCATTTCTTCAATTTTGCCCGCATTTGCTGAATGTCCTTGACTGCCCCACCGCTTTGTCGAAGTCGCTGCTTTGAAATTGCCCAGTATTTTTCGATTGGTCGAAATTCCGGGACAATTTCGAGCTTGGGGACAAAATCGATCTTGTTGGCAGCATACCATTCCTGAACCAACTTGGAGTAGTGGCAGCTGGCCAATTCGGGCCAAAAGATGACTTTGCCCCTATGCTTGCGGATGAACGGCAATACACGCTTTTTCAAGCATTCTTCGATATAAACTTGGGATGTCATCATCGAGGATCTGACGAATGGTTCTGTTTTCAGGCCACAACTGCAAATCGCTTGCCAAATCAT